TATTATTACTATCATTATTACTATTATCATCATCATCATCGTTATCATTATTACTACTAATATCCTTATTTTGTCTAATTTTTCTTTTTATTCAGTTTTTTTTTTTTTTTTTCTTTTTTTGCTCGAGAATATGCTATCTGCTTGAGATTGATTAATTAGACCGTTTAGAAAACTATTTTAATAAGAAAATAAATGTTCTCTGTCCCAGCTCCCCATGAAATATAAATACTGAAAATAGATGCAAGAAAGAAAAGAAAAGGTCAGAGCGCACACAGGCTTAGTCCTCATTTGCATATCTTAACTTTGTTTATGTCATACGTCATAATTCTATCTTTGATCACTCCAACTCACTTTTGATTTTTTTATTTTTATTTCCCGCTTTCTTTACCTCGTATGTTATTTTTTTTATATTGTTTTTTTTTCTTTATTCTATTTCTGTTGCATTAACCCTCCATAAGTTTATATGTTTTTATTTTTTTATTCCTTATCCTAAATGACCTGTTTATTATCAGGTCCTTTTTTCCTGCCATTTTTTTTTTTTTTTTTTTTTTTGTCATTTTTTTCGGTTTTCCCCTTTCCTTTCTTCCGCCTCTTCTTCCTCCTGCTGCTCCCTATATTCTCCCCCCCCCCCTCCCCCCCCCTTCATGACTGTGTCATCGCGACCTCCTCCTCCTCCTCCTCCTCCTCATTTACGTCGCCATTATTCTCTCTCTCTCTCTCTCCCCATTCTTATTCTCTTCCCTTGCTCTCTCTCTCTCTTTTCCTTCTCTCTCTCTCCTCCTCCGCCTTCTGCCTGATGTTATCTCATTCCGATAAGGCTGCCGATTGCTCATGCCTTTCGCAGTTGACACGCCAGAAGAGGTTTCGTTTGCATCACCATCAATCACCACGATCACCGTCACTATCAGCAGCACCACAATCACCATCATCATCACGACCACCATCATCGCCACCACGATCACCATCACCATAATCACCATTACCACGACCACCTTCATCGTCACCACAATCACCATCACCATCATCATCACGACCACCATTACCGCCACCACAATCACCATCGTCACCATAATCACAATTTCGTTCTGCATTTCATTAATGATTACTAATCACCATCATCATCATGACTCATATATCATTACTTTTACTATCATTATTATTACTATTATCATTAGCACTATTTTTTTTAGGGTGTAGTAGTCGTTACCGCAGTGGTTGTGTTATTACTGTTCTTATGGTTGTGGCTTTGTTACCACAAAGCATAGACAGATAGACAGACAGACAAAGATACAACCAGACAGTCACATACAGACTGACTGACACAGACAGACAGATTGATAGCTACAGACAGATGAACAGAGACACAGACAGACAAATAGACAGCCACAAATAGACATCCACCCACAGATACAGACAAACAGACACAAAGGGAGAGATATAATGTTTATTATGGTTACTATCTGTCACCGTTTTATAATTCGGGTTTCGTATGCATATTCCTTGGCTCTGCAACCGAGAGACTTATGCAAGCGGATGTTAACTATTTAATAATGCAAACACATTTCTTCACAATGCAATCAATTCATTTAACTTTGTATTTATTATTCATTCTACTAAAAGAAAAAAACGCTGAATCAATGGGAAAAAAGTGATATGGATATTATATCAGCTCTAGTTTAATGTCAGTGTCAAGGCTAGCGTCCAAACTTTTTTTTTATCATTTTTGAAAAATAAAAAAGGTTTCGTTGGCTACCACTTTTTTTTGTAAACCTTATGATAATTAATTTTACACGGCATTGAGCAAGGTAACAGAGAAAAAAAATAATTAACACTTCCAAAACAGCAACACCAAGAAAGAAAACAACAAAAGCAACAAAAAATGATAACCAAAAAGTAGCAACAAAGACAACGAGCAAAAACGGACCTTCAAACGACTTTTAAACGCGACCGCTGCGTCAAAGACAAAACTTTCCTCATATCACGTACTGCGGAATACGACCATTAAACACTAACAAAATCATCAGGAAATAATACAGTATCGAATAATAATTAGAGGACTATAATATGAATAATGATATATAATCGAATCCGAATGCAAAACACTAGATACTAATCAATTTTACATATGATGACAACAATAACAACGACTAAACAAAAAAATACACAAAAAGTCATTATCTATCAAATAATACTCATTTCCCAACGGCCAAAATAGTAACCAAAAACCACCATATCACGACCACCACCAAACAACGCCTACAAACAAAAAAACAAAAACAAAAACAAAAAAACGACCATCTGTCTCCAACTAAAAATTAACCCGAACACCGACCCCAACAGCAGCTTCCGTCCCACTCCTATCGGCGCGTCGGCAAATCCAACACCACCACCAAGCCCCTTCCTGAGCTGGACGGGCGCTGGGCTCTTCAAGGCCAAGGGCAGCGGGACCGGAGGAGGAGAGACCGAGCGCAGAGGAATTCGTAGTAGCCTTGGGGGGTGAAGTGCCTTGCTCGGAAAAACGGCGAGACACCTCATTGGGATTCCCGGGTCGTTACAAAAAAGAAAAAAAAAAAGAAAAACGTTTGGGTTTGCTCTCCTATGTGGCCGTGCACTGAAAGTCGTTTTATTCAGTGTTCCAGTACATTCTTCTCTCTCTCTCTCTCCACTCTGGCCCAGTGTAGTGTGAGAGGTGAGAGGTGGGTGGGTGGGTGAGTAAGAGTGTGTGTGTGTGTGTGTGTGTGTGTGTGTGTGTGTGTGTGTGTGTGTGTGTGTGTGTGTGTGTGTGTGTGTGTGTGTGCGCGCGCGCAATTTCTGGAAGCTGAGACTGTCCGAGACCTGTTTTGTTTTCCAATACTCACCGCTGCACTCTCCTCTTCGTCATTACATGAACCCTGCATCCAACATTACCTGTAAAAGGAGAAAAAAGTGTTAAAGGCATTTCCACTTGAAATACACAAACACACTGCAAACACACGCGCACTATATCCACAAAGACATGATGATTAATTTCAGGTCTGAAGTGACAAACTGGCTGTTTCTGGGCCTCTGACTTGTCGGTCGTAAACACAGATGCACAGGACGAAAACATTTAAGTGAATTTCCATTTCTCGAAACATTTTCCTGAACAGAGATTAATGCGCAGTGCGTTTCTTCCGCGCCAATTTAACACCGTCAGACGTTAAAGATCTTGATTTTTAGGAGGTAGGTTCTTAGTCATCCTCAAAATGTAGCCAAATTCTTGTATCTTTATCATCATCTTCTTCTTCTTCTCCTCCTCTTTCCCACCTCCTCCTCTCGACCAAACTCGTTTTTTTTTTCCTGCATCATTATTACCTATGTTTCTATTCTCGAATTTGGCACGCCACTGCCAAGGACCCCGATATCATGCTGGGTGAGAGAGAGAGCTTAACGGGGCACACGGGGGCGGCGACATTTGTGCACGCATTGTGATTTTCAACATTTCAACATTTCGCGGTGTACAGTTTTCAACATTTCAACATTTCGCGGTGTACAGTTTTCAACATTTCAACATTTCGCGGTGTACAGTTTTCAACATTTCAACATTTCGCGGTGTACAGTTTTCAACATTTCAACATTTCGCGGTGTACAGTTTTCAACATTTCAACATTTCGCGGTGTACAGTTTTCAACATTTCAACATTTCGCGGTGTACAGTTTTCAACATTTCAACATTTCGCGGTGTACAGTTTTCAACATTTCAACATTTCGCGGTGTACAGTTTTCAACATTTCAACATTTCGCGGTGTACAGTTTTCAACATTTCAACATTTCGCGGTGTACAGTTTTCAACATTTCAACATTTTGCGGTTTTCAACATTTCGCGCCCTCCAATGTTCCGGGGAAAAAAAAAAAAAAAAAAAAAAAACGATTTCTTTGGAGCAGACAGACCCAAGCGGGGGAAAGGGGGGTAGGGGGAGCGAGTTCCCGACTCCACGAACCAGCAGAGAAAGCAGGAAAGATCCCTGCTTGGTCGAGGGGGAAGTTGGGGGGGAATTACCAGCTTGGGAATGTTTTATTTCTCAAATTGTAACAAGAGAGTTAGAAAAGGGGCTATAGATAACGAAAAACATTTATATGCATATATGTCTTCGAGTGCATATAAATACATAAACAATGTATAGACACATGTGAACGCGTTTAGAAAATGCGTCCCCTATACGTACACAAACATGCACGCACATTCACACACATACACACACACACCACCAAAATCGCAAAATGGACGCACACGTTAGCGTCAATACCTGCGGTGTGTGGGCGTGCAATATGCCTGCATCCCCCCCCCCCGACTCACACTCTCTCCCTCTCTCTCTCTCTCTCTCTCTCTCTCTCTTTCTATTTCTCATACCCCACTCTTCCCCACTCCCACCCTCCTCTCCCCCTACCGTCCTCCCTCCCCCTCTCTCTTCCCCTCTCTCTTCCCCTCCCTCTCCCCCTACTCCCCTCCCTCTCCCCCTCTCCCTCCATCAAAATGAAAGAAAAACGAAGTACGGAATCCCCATCTATACATCCCACGGAGACACGGCGCGACTCCCATCATCAAAGCTCTCTCGACAACGACAGGGCAGCCGGTTCTCGGAAGCGGTTCCACGGGGCAAACACACGTGTAGAATGGGGGGTGGGGGGGTGGGGTGGGGGGTAATGAAGTAGAGGAGGAGGAAGGGGATGGGGAGGGGGAGGAGGAGGAAGGGGAGGAGGAGGAAGAGGGGGATGGGGGAGGGGAGGAGGAGGAAGAGGGGGATGGGGAGGGGGAGGAGGAGGAAGGGGAGGAGGGGAGGAGGAGGAAGGGGAGGAGGGGAGGAGGAGGAAGGGGAGGAGGGGAGGAGGAGGAAGGGGAGGAGGAAGGGGAGGGGGAGGAGGGGAGGAGGAAGGGGAGGGGGAGGAGGAGGAGGAGGAGGAAGGGGAGGGGGAGGAGGAGGAGGAGGAGGAAGGGGAGGGGGAGGAGGAGGAGGAGGAGGATGGGGAGGGGAAGGAGGAGGA